CGTGCGACAGCACAATAGCATAACTTACTGCTTCTTCTTTTGGTCATTATAAATTACTCGATACTCAGTGGTGCTGGTCTTGAGAATGCAACAATTCCATATGATTTTACAAATTGCCTAGCAGTGATTTAGACTGCAATTTTTACAGCTTCACTCAGAGGATGCATGAAGGTAAGCATCCTGAAAGATAGTCTCTGGTGTTGTATTCAAGTCACTGGAAACTATAAGAAACTTGAGAGATGTTTGCCATCTTCAGAATGAATGTACAGGATTCCAGGGGATGTCAGTTTGCAATAAAGAAGTCACAATCGGAATATGTGGGGCAGCTACATATTTTCAGATACAATGGAGTAAAAAGAAACAGCCATTTCTGCTTCTCTTACAGGAAGCTGATGAAGCTCTGTTGCGTAATTTGGAGCTACAGATTGAACTGCAGTTCTTGCAAGATGATGTCAATTCTACAAAGGACAGATACAAGAAGGTAATTGCCTAAAGCTAACAATGGGCCTTTTCTGTTTCATGACCAAGAGCATGTGCACATGCAGAAGAATATACAATATACATTTTGGCAATGGAGTCAACATGGGACTCTCCACCATTTGCAATGAATGCATTGCAAGTAATGATATTTCCTACAACAAATTACTTTTTGAGTCCCTTTGGGGAGATAGAGTGGGATATAAATATAAAGTATTATTATTTGAAACACAACAAGATGAGTCCACAGCAGACAAGATCACTCTGCTGGCTGTTGTATTGGATCACACATCGGACACTTCCCAGGTGTCTAGGACTGTGTGATGTATCAGCAAAAAATGCGTGCAGAGCCCAGTAAGGTGGCCTTTTGCAGCTGGCAGATGGGAATCTTCTCAGCGCTGATTGTGTTTAAGTGCAAGCCAAGGTCTTTAGGCACTGCACCCAGTGTGCCGATCACCACTGGGACCACCTTGACTGGCTTGTGCCAGAGTCTTTGCAGTTCGATCTTTAAATCCTCATATCGTGTCAGCTTTTCCAGTTGTTTCTCTTCAATCCTGCTGTCACCTGGGATTGCGACATCAATGATCTATACTTGTTATTATTATTATTAAGTATTATTATTATTAAGTATTATTATTATTACTATTGTTATTATTCTGTAAGCAAAATTGTGGAGATGTTCATTTTGAAAAACTTTGCCACAATGGACAAAACTATAATTTTTGGTGAAATGTGTAAAAATATTATACTGTGGGGATATTGCTGATGTCCTTAATCATGCAATGTGAGCAAAGGGGAAACTGCCAATTTTTACATTTTCAAACACTGGCTTTTCACATTCAGAGCAAACCAAGACCGTTGTTGCTTCAGCAGTTCTAATACATGACAAACAGGAAATTGTGCTAGTTGTTAACTATTCATCTTGATCTGGCATGGTGTTCAAGGAATGGGTAATATAACAAGCATATGATAAAATAATAGAACACCCCCCCCCCCGAAGTTTTGGAATCTATATAAATAAAAATGTAATGTTCGTTTGTGGTATTCACAGAATTCAAAAACCACTGGACAAATTCACACCAAATTTGGACACAAGACACCTAACAACCCAATGTATGTCCTTCACTCAAAAAAGATGATTTTATCATTTGGGAGTTGTAGTTGCTGGGATTTATATTTCACCTACAATCAAAGAGCATTCTGAACTCCACCAACG